TAATGCTAAAGGAAATGCTCACTGGGGCATTTCAGATTTCAATTTTTGGGATTTGGGATGCTCAACAAGTAAGGACAATACAAATATTCCAAAATCAAAAAACAAAAAACACACCAAAAAACTGGAACTCTGAAGCAATTCTAGTCTCAAACATTTTGAATAAGCAATATTTAACCTATATTTTTGGATTTTCAGAAATTTTGATACATAAGTTTTAGCCATTTTTAAACAAGCAGATCATGGTGAACAAATGAAAATCAATATGATTTCCTTTTAAGCTAGAAGTATCATATAAAGAATTTGCTATATCTTAAAACTTGAACCTTAAGACAATATCAGCTTCATGCAATCTATCTGGTTCGTTCCCTGACATGCCTTACACATGGAAGGCATTCAATAAACATTTGCCATGTAATTAAATGTAAGAAAAGATGGCACACAGTTCGACACTGTTCAATTCTCAGAAAACATGACCTTTACAGTTCTTTTATGGAGGTGTGCCATCATCTGTTAGCATCTTCTTCACTAACCTGACACTAACTCAGCTGCTCTGCTGACTTTGGACTTCCTATACTGATTTCTCCCAGATATTAAAAAATTGTCTCCTTCTTGAGCACCTGGTGATAAAGAGAGTAAACTGCAACTGTAATTTCTGCTAAGTTTTCAATGGACAAAGACTGCGTGTGTGTGTGTGTGTGTGTGTGTGTGTGTGTGTGTGTGTGTGTGTGTGTGCGCGCGCGCGCGTGCGTGCGTGCATGTTGCTGGTAAAGCATATTACAGCTTGTGGGAGAAATGTCTGATATAATTTAAACTTGCAAGTTGAATACGAAATGCCTAGAATAACTAATGGTAATAGTATTATATACCTATATAAGAATTATTTGCAGGAGAGTTAGAAGTACCTTACGGGTTTTATTTACTTAATCTTCATTGCAGTCTTGAGATTGGAAGGCAAGCAGGTATTATTATTATTAGCTCTATTTCATAGGATGGAAGGCAAAGAAAAAAATGTCTTGATCAATACTGTCATATCTGTTGGCTCCAAGGAAGCATTCTAAAATCACAGGCCCAAAGTCTAAGGTACTACCCATATATCTGAATGCTTGGCTTCAGTCATTCAACTACATAGATATTGACACCTTCAAAGCTTTTCATCAGCTATAATTACTCTGCCTAACTTATAGCCTACATGTCTCCAACCACCCCTCCCTTTCTGCTCTAGCTAAGATGAATTTATGTTGCTCACTTAGGTCTGATACTACATGTCATCCTTCCCGAGATTAATCCAAGCTGTTGTATACATTATACATGAATAACTGCCCCTTCCACAATCTGAATTATATCACTCCCTGCCTTTATTCTTAAAATTAATTTAGCTTTCCATTATTATTCAAGTAACTAACATATAACAGATTTTTAGTCCTTGAGATTACTTCTAGAAAATCTAGATCAAATACTTTATTTATTGTATTTTCATCCTTAGAGAACTCTCTAGTATGAAACATAAGGGCTTTATTCTCTGCCTTCTCATTAGTTCTTCCCTGAGTTTGATGTGAATATGATTACTTTTATTTGTTCTACATTTTTATTTCTGGTTCTTTAAAGTTGAAAAAAAAAAAAAAGCAGCTATTCACTTAAACTTCTGGGCATTCTACTGAACAGACAGGCTCTCACTTCTGCTGCAGCTCCCTGCCAGCCTACTTTTGTCTGGCACTTACATTTTATTGATTGGACAACTACATTTGATTTCTAATTTAAATAATTTGCTGTAATCTCATATTCACTGGACACACTCCTTTCCATTTCCTTTATTATCATGGGGTTATTTACTAATGATACCTCTATGCTTCTATTTTATAGGGTCTCAGTAGTGACATGCTTAGTCTGCTACTTGGAGCCAGGAGTCGCTCCTTTATGTCTTTCTTGCTCAATATATTGATTTTGCTTCCTCAATCAATAAATTCTGTAACAACCAACATTGTTTTAAATAATTTATGCATTTCAATGTACTCTGTGTATAAAAAAAACAAGGCCAATTATGTGAAAATAAAAGAAACAAGACAAACTATCAAAATGCATCAATTTTCTTCATCACACAGTTACCACAATGAGACTACAGAATCATGCTAGGCTTAGTAACAGTGGCACATAAAAAAATGTTGAAATAATAATAATGCAAAAAATCCATTATGGTAGATTAAGAATTGATCAGAAGACAGAAAAAAGAGACTATACATTTTGTTTGTTATTATTTGCCCATTGATATCTCAAGATATTATAATTTCCGTCTAAAACCTCTAAGAGCATTTGGGGTAGATCTAAGAAATGGCATAAGCTTTTAATCTGGGACTTTATTGTTTCAGTTACAGTAAGCCTCTCTACTTCCTAGAGTTGCATTTTAAAAAATATCTATTCCCTATGTTAAAATTTTCATATTTAAAAACATAGCCTTTGAGGACTTTTTCTATATGGTTAGGTCTCAGGTCAATGCGCAAAAGAAAATCTCCGTTTAAGAACAATATTTCAGAATAAGGGTTCTGTCATGGCATTTTAAAAAGCCATTATGATTAGACCATTTTTTGGTGGCAGAATTTTTGTAAAATGTCACTTTGGTCTTACCTCACAGTATCAACAGACTTCACAGGAATTGTTCTAAATGTCAGAAATATGAAATTTCTGTATTTCTCTCATCTCATTATCCTGCTAGTTTTCTTAGGAAAACGTAACTATGTATTTATTACATGTCTCATGTTCATCTGCCTATGCACATAAGCCCTCAAAGTTCTATTATTATATCTACATATCTGGAATAAGACTTTTCATAGAAATTCAGGTGCTAATGCAGGCTACTGATAGCTGTGAAGTAAATACTCTAACTGTATTTAGAGACAGCATTATTTCATACAACTTTCGCTGTTTAAATATCTCAACATTATTTTCAATAGTGGCCTAAATCTCTCTGAGATGGGAAATACTGAATATGAAGAAAGAATTGTGTTCTCTGAAGTGGTTCTTAAAGACCTGACTGCCACCACCTTCTTCCTTAGCATAGATTCTCTTCTCCCTTATGTTTCCCTTCTTTCAATCATTTAGCTTTCTTTGATTCTTTAGCTTGAGAATTCCCAAAACATTTCCACTTCAGAGATAAAAGGTCCACCACTGCATTGAGTTGCATGTGTCAAAACTCTGCCTTCTTAAGAGGGAGAAGGAGAACTTTCCACTGAAAAGAGCTCAGAAGGCAAACTTTAAGCCAAAAGGGGAAAAGAAGGCATGCTTTTCTTTGACTAGCATCCATGCATTCTACAGATGTTGACTTGTTTACATTTGTACCTGAAGGTTAAAAAGAATATTAAATAGCTGTTGGGGATGAAACACTACGATAATCTAAACAGTTAAGAAAGATGATGCAGGCTTTCACAATACAATGCATTCTTGGAAATCATATGAGTCAGACGTGTTGAAAGGTCAAATGCCTATTATTACTCCAATATTCACCTTTGTGCTTGAGACAACCTACACCTGAGTGAGAGTTTGATAGTTAAGAGGTAGCAGCAATGTATTAGAAAGTGAAATGATGCCTGACAATGCTATTATGTTAGAAACTACTAACATGATGAATAATGATACGCAAAGGCACCAAGTGGCATGTATGTTTTTTCAGCTGAAGAGTAGCACAATGTAAATAACTACTAGTGCATTTTTTAAACACATTTACACATTTCTTGCTACACTGAAGTGAACAGAATCAAAATAATTGTTAAACTGAATAGTCAACAACTATGGATCCCAAAAGTAAACTATAAAAAATAAAAACCTTTTCTAATGTAAATAGGTTATTACCTAAATGTATATCTACAAAAACCATTCTTTCAAAAGCTTTCAGGTGTAATATATATGACATAATCACAACTAAAATAAAAAAGTAAAAAATATAACCCAAAATAAAACTGAGTCATTGATATTTGGCCCTAAACAACAAGTGTGGTTGGGGATTGAAAAATTTCCACCTCAAAAACCTGAGTGTGGCAAAATAATATCAGCTCTCGGTTAATCCAACTAGCCTCTGTTAAATGTCTCTGGGAAATAGAGGAATTCTACAAATGCAGACTGTGCATGGTTAACGGCCACTACCTGCCCATCAAAATCATACCCTAAAAATGTTTAGCAAAAGCAGCCCAATAACTAGATCACGAAACCAAGGTCATGAAGGCCTAGGTCCTTTTTCCATTATAAAGATTAAAACAGGCTGAGCATAGCGGCTCACGTCTATGATCCCAGCACTCTGGGAGGCTGAGACAGGTGGACTACTTGAGCCCTGAAGTTCCAGACCTGCCTGAGCAATGTGGAAAAACCCTGTCTCTACAAAAANAAAAAAAAAAAAAAAAATACAAAAATTAGCTGGACATGGTGGCACATGCCTGTAGTCCAAGTGACCCAGGAGTCTGAGGTGGGAGAATCACCTGAGCCTGGGAGGTCCTGATGATGCCATTGTACTCCAGCCTGGGCAACAAGTTGGAGCGGGAAAGAAGAATGAATCCTGAAATGCCATGTTTCCTAATTTTCAAAACAGCTTTTTGGAATTATTCAGGTACCAGAGAGACTGACAGTTGCATATTTCTAGCTATCATCTTTCTACTAGCAAGTGAACATCACCAAAGCAGGGAATGTTTTGAATAAATGAATTATAGCACCCAATTGACATAACCACGACACAGTCATGGCAAACACCAATGATCTATACATTGCATTACTACAACCTAACTTGGAGGTTTAGAGAACCTCAGAATCTGACTTGTGTTTATAGCCTTGTGGCCTTATTTACACCACTTTTTTTTACCCTCAACACACAAGATACACAGAAAGATCATAAAGAAGAAGATTATACAGTTTGTTCATGAGATGTAAACAGTGAAAATGTAGAATGAACAATGTAAACGGACTACAGCTGTGTTCCCAACCCGCCACAAGAGCAGAGTGGAGATGGAAAAGGACTGGCTTACCTCTGGTGTGCCAAGAGCATGTTCTCCAGCTAACAGCAGCATACTCAGGCCTCCCATTTGAGTAGGATCTATGTAAGTGAAGACATCAACTTATAAGCATGAAGTGTATACAATCCACAGAGTCAAAAAGAATACTCACAGAGACTAGCAATCAGAAATCCAACAGAACCACATATAACTTTTTACAAAGGCCTTTAAAAAACTCTTTATGCAACAGTAACATGGCATATATGTTCTTAGTGCTCATACTTTGTGAGCCTCTTGAATACCCCTCTATTCTCACTATCCCAAGAGTACTTTCTTTAATATCATTGCTGTTTGTAACATTTATCTCCTAATGTAATGCTTCTTTTCTTGCTGCTTGGGGAGTTTAGATAAGATTTTTTAAACATAAAGAGTGTTTCTGCTTGTCTTCTAAGAAGTTTTAGATTGTTATTCTCAAATTATGACTTCTGCCATGTGAAATCAGGACTAATGTAAAAAAAAAAAAAAATAGGCTATCAGAAAGAAATTTTCCAATCAGGTTTCCAAAATCTAGTAGGTTTTATTCAAATAAACTTTCTTTAAAGCATTCGAAATAAACTTAGATTAACTGATATGTTTTTGACATTTTACATTTTAGGGGTAGTCAAACACTTGCCCAAAATACCTTCAAGGTATAAAATTAATGCTTTTTATGTCACCAAAGGTCTTTGTTTTCACTATCTCAACAATCGATATAAACAGAAGGAGAAAATAAAAACAGCAAAGTGGTGGATCTATGACCCAGGTTGTACCTAAACAAAGAAAGTAGAAAGCAGAATTGGGAACAGTGGCTCATGCCTATAATCCCAGCACTTTGGGAGGCCAAGGCAGGAGGATCTCTTAAGGTCAGGAGTTCGAGGCTACAGTGAGCTAAGGCTGCACCACTGTACTCCAGGTGTGGGTGACAGAGTGGGATCCTGTCTCTACAAAGTTAAATGAACAAATAGAAAATAAATAAAAACAAAGAAGGTATCAAAGAAAAGGGACCTGTGTCCTGTAAGTCTGTCTTGAATTAAAATTCAGAAGTGTAATGAAGAACATATGTCAAAATGCCTAACTTAGCATCTCTCCTAGTGCATATAAGGTCCTCAATCAATGTTTATTTAATTTTAGGAATCTACAATTGAAAATGAGGATTCATCCTAATGTTGCACAAAGAAATTCAGTTGTTTCTTTTCTTTTTTGGGTTAAAGATATGTCCTTAAGTACATCTTTGTATACAACCTGTCTTAGGAACTCATAAAGCAACTTTGATTATATGTTATATACAGTTTAAAAAACATTCTAAGGTAGTTAAAAAAAAGGGACAGAGATGGGGAGAAGAGAGTATTAGAGGAAAGACTATGTTACCAAAAGATTAGGTGAAAAAATAGCTCAACATTGGAAGGCAGACACATAGGAAGACGTACACAGAGAATATACAAACAGTAGCTTAATTGATGAAACAAGGCTCTTCGGTGTTGTTTTAAGATCCCAACTTTAATTAAATGTTAAATTTAAGAACTATTGTGGCTGTTGAAATAGATACTTAAATCTACCTAAAAATCAAGAGAGGGAAATGAATTTAGTAGAAAGTAAAAGTTTAGTTTGGTTCTTTAAAAGAGAAATACTTTTGCAGCTGTTATCCTAGAGATCAGGAGGATTAGATGATAGCTTTCTAAAGATAAAAATGTGTTAGTTCAAATTACAAAGTAAAATAGGAACACGATTACGTGATAATTTATATACCAATGTGACTTTGCAAGAAGTTTGCTATATGGATAATAAAACATAGGCCAAGAAATTACCAATATCTTTTATATTAATTCATACTTACATAGTGTTATTTAGAACTATCAAAACATATTCACAAACATAGGATGCTTTCTTTAGTGAAATTCAATGAAAGGGCTTGCACTAAATTATAATCTACAAAGCTTTCCCTCCTTGGAAATCATACATGTGGCAATTTGGGGTTATTCAAAAATTGCAAAATGTCATGTGACAAGGACTAATGGACAAACAGAACAAAAGAGATTCCATATTGAGGGAAACAATCTGGCATTTAGAAGTCCTCTATTATCTCCTAGATTCAGATGCCTAAGCACCAGGTTTTAATTACAGCCAAATTAGTTGGCTTTCATCTTGTTGAAAAGCAACATACCTGGAAATATCAGGTCAATGTTATCCACTACATGCAAGCCTATCAAGAGTTCTGAACACGGATTTCCAACATATAGCACAAGCCATTATAAAATGAGATAAATGCAAGGAAGAAAGGTGTTTTCCTTCTTTCCTGTACTTCCCTTTGAGAACACTGCTCTTAAACACTGATCTGTAAAGATCTTGTTTGAAGTCTGGGTTCGACTTTCAATTTGCAGGTAAAAGGCAGATGAATAAAGTGTCAGAAATGGTGCTACAAAAAAAATATCTTTCATAGCTTTCTGCAGTTCACCCACAGTAGTTATATGGTTTGTGGAGAGCAGATGTATGCAAAAAAAAAAAAAAAAAAAAAAAAAAAAGCCAACAACAACAAACTACATAGCCTGATCTAGATTGAGAATTGGGAGAAAAAACAATGAATGTTAAATGATGGCCAAATGAATTCAGCTGGAAGTCAGTCATCTATATACTCTTTCCGGATTCTGACAATAAGATGTTTTAGAAAGTACAAAGTGGCAGCTAAAGCAAGGACAGATATCTCTGTCTGATTCTTCTGGGACATGTAGAAGCATCATTTGGGGAGCTTACTTAGAATGACACTACAGATAGTGTATGCTACCCACATAGCAATCACCTGAATCCTTCCCCCATCCCACCACGGAATGCTGCCATTATGTTAGACTTCATTTTTTAGAGGCAGGGTCTTGCTCTGTTGCCCAAGATGGAGTACAGTTGTGAGGTCAGACCTCACTGCAGCCTCGAACTCCTGAACTCAAGTGATCCTGCCATGTCAGTCTCCCAAGTAACCAGGACTATAGGCACATGCCACCACACATGACTGATTAAAAGAATGTTTTTGTAGGTTATATAGAATACTGCCACATACTTTTTATACTATGAATCACACACTGAACCATAAAGTCTTGTAGAAGTTATTGGTTATTAAAAAAAAATGTGCTATCACAGTATCACTCAACCTCTTCTCTCAACCTTTCCATATGCAAATGGTTCAATACTCTGATTTCAAATAAGATTTGCTTCTAATACCAAAATAGGAACCCTATAGCTCAATTGCAACTTCACTTCCTGTCACCTGCTTATCTCCTAATTTCATCTCACAAACTCCTCTTTTGACTGCATTGCAATAGCTAAGGAAGACAGAGCCACTTGTAGGGTGAATATAAGTATTTTCATGGTAATAAATGCTTTAGCATACCTTACTGCCCAAAGAGTACTAAAGGTCCCATAACAAATGGCACCATCTGGAATTTTAAATTTTTCTGACCCTTATAGGAATGGACATGAGAGGAGGGGATAGGATGGGAGTTCTAAGACACAGCTGTCAGATCCAGGTCAGATTTGTGATGTACTTGTTGATAGTCTTGCCCTCAATGTTTCCAATACCCAGATGACCTACATGACTGTGGCTTTTTAAGTAGCATGATAACTAAGGTGCATACTGGGATGGATTACTAGCGTGTATGTGCATATAAGCTATTTTGTGAACATAAAGTTTCCTAGGCTCCTGACAATCTCCATGTTGCTGTCGACTTTTCCATACTGTCAATGTCAGGAATTCACACGTATTTATAATGACATATATTTATAATGACTGAGTCTATATATCCTTTTGTTAATTACCTGTATTCTATATATATCATGATCCAATGCTTGAAAATATGCTTTATCCTTGCCACTGCTTAATAGTGGTCATAAATTTTGTCCCCTTGCCCTCTGTATTATTTAAATGCTGCCTAAATGTATTGTGCTGTCCTTAAACAACAGGTGGAAATAGTGTCTCAACTCACCAGCCATTCCAAAGTTAAGCTGAGGCATTTCTTCAGTCTTTGCTTTCTTGGGGCTTGGAAAGTCTCTTGAAGAGTCAGATGGGAAGGCCCAAAGTTTCTTTCGTGGATTGACAGTGGGTGTTGGGGATTTTACAGGCTTGTTTGTGGTAGGACACCATTTGTAGCCAGGATTTGCTTTCATAAATGCATCTTTATACTATAAAGAAAAGACAGCAGATTTTAATTAACAAGCAGATTGAAAAAGTTCTAATAGCCGTTACCTCATTCCCCTTTTAGTTAATAACTGAGAAAAACACTTTCAGTGACTTCTGTGGCTCTCCTTGCAGAAGAATGACACTCTCAGCATAGGGCTCTAGAGATAGGACATGGAGTTACCTAACCCATTTGCGGGATGAGGGTTCAGAGACTGAATACTTTGTATTGTTTGATCCTCAACTTTAAAAAACAATATCCAAAAAGCTCTCTGACCTTGATGAGGAGAGGGAGTTGTTTATAATGAAATGAGTCTAGGGCTCTGGAGACGGAAGCAGGTTCAAACCCTCACACTTCCACTTAGGGCTACAGCAACCAAGGAAGAGAAGGTAGCTCCTCTGGGCCTCAACCTTAGATTCCACAAACTGAGAATAATACCACCAATGCCTAGGGTTACTGGAGCAGTGGTGCATAGCACATCACTCATTTCTTTAGCTAGCTGTAGACATCAAGCAAGTTGTTTAACCTTTCTCAGTCTTAATTCCTCCACTTATAAAGTGTAACCACACTTGCCACTGGGCCAGGGGTCTATAATGAGCATACACAACTGAATATATAAACAAGCTCTAAGAGCACTGATATGTGATGTTGCAATAATCCATCACAAACCTTATGTCCTACTTGGAGGTTTCAACCTTCAGTGACAACATCCCTCCCCTTCATTTTTCTGTGGCTTTCTCCTGTTACCCTGTCTCTCAATTTTGCTACCTCTTATCTCTTGCATGACAGTAACACAAAAGAAAATACATTTATTGCTATTAGTTACGTATTGCCAAAAGTTACCTCTTAAGAATGTATTTTCCATATATTCAATTTTTTTATTATTGCTAGATATTTTACTCAATTAATACACTTCATTCAACCCCATAAGCTTGTCTTTTAAAACGGTAACTTAATGTGTGATATTAACTCAGTATAACCTCCAGCTTTTAATTTTACCCAATCATTTGAAAAAGGTCCTTTATCCTTCGTATATCCTTTCCTTTCACCAAGGATATACTTTTTTCCCTATCATTTCCCTTTAAATTATATAAATGAAAATGGTAAAGTAGATAATTACGCAATGTCAATAGACAATGGTATAGAATTATTTCACATTATCTTTCTGAATAATCCTTTTTTTCTTTTACCTATTAGATGTATATGCCTGTTGATACATGGATATATGTAGAAGAAAGGTAAGCATAAAAAAACTGTAGAATACAATCCCACTTTTCTTACAAAAAAATAACTAAAATTGGACACAAGGCCAAACTAGAATTCACCATCAAAAACCAGAATGTGTTAGGGGGTATCAAATGTGATACAAGAGATCCATTACTACAGTGCATTCATGTGCATGAGGGATTTACATATTAAGCTGAGGCAGACAAATAGCTTTGCCTGCTGTCTGAAAGTGGAAAGTGACAAATGGTAGGATGAGGTGAAAATGGAAGTAGCAGACACATGCATCATTATTGTGTCCCAGTAAAAGCACACAGGCCGGGTTTGTCAGATGAACAGTCACTTTAACAAAGGTCACCGCTTTATAAAGTGTCAAAAGACTTTCAAACAAATTGATTAACATATCTGTCATGAGAAATAAAGTTATCTATTTTTGGGGGGTAGTTTCAAGTTTTTCAGAAGGAAGTCATAATTATGAAAGATTCTAGACAGGTGTCACTAGAATGACTGCCAGTATCAAGTATTTTTAAAGTACCAACCATACCAATAGAGTCCAGCTTAAACTCATTTATAAGGGGGAGCTGGTGCCAAAAATCACACAGAGAAGTTATAATCACTACATCATAATTTCTTTTGCATGTATTCCATCCACCGACCCCCATCTCAAACATTCTGTGAGCACTGACTATATGACAGGCATTTGCCAGGCATTGGAGAGAGAAAAGAACATGAATTAGAGTCCCTATCTTCATATTGCTTATACTTCAGTTTCCTACACAAATATATTATTTCTTTTTACACATAGTCCATAAGGCTGGACCATGGCTTCCCCTGGCTCAGGCAGGAAAAATGGTTTCACAATGGGTCTGCAAAAGGGCCAACTACTTATATGAGTAGAATAACAGAGAGCAAGAGAAAGGCTGGGAACACGTGGAGTTTTATGGAAAAAAGTAACAATTTACTATGAGAGTCAACACTCTGTAACTGCATCACAATGTTAATCTTGCAGATTCTTAAACTCAATGTAGATGTTCAAAACCACGTTCATTAGTTCTATCACATATAAATAGAGTGGAAGAGTTAAGAATGTGGGAGGTAGAGCAGAATAACACACAGTCTTTGTCCTTAAGGAGTTTAAAGTTTAGATGGAGATGCCATCAATTCATGTAAAAACACAAGTTAACACAAGCAGTGTATGAGCATCAAGGGAGGGTGGAGGCAGGAAGAGCCTCAGGGTAGGAGGATGTCTTTCTGTTCCTGGAACTTGGCACTTCATCAATCATTTGCTCTGATTCAGCTATTAGAGACAATAGTAGAAAGGCGTAATCATTCGTTGTGATAAGATTATGAGGAAAGGAATTACAGAGAAGGCTGGGTAAGGGAGAAGTGGGGGAAGACTTTGTATACTCCTCTGAAGCAAATAGCTGAGTGAAATTATTAGCATGCAGGTCAATCATGTGGGCAAAATCCCTATTACAGGACTGAAAAGGCCTAAGAGACAGGCCCCAGATATCCAATGCCAGGCTGTTCATACTGATGGTGGGAGGGGAAGCTCACTTATCCTCGGAAAAATATCAAACGAGTTATTGGCCCTAAGATTTCAATGCAAGACTCTCTCATATAACAAAATTTTTGTTAAAAATACTGATTTTCAAAATTCTCCCATTAAATAAAAATTCACCTCATGGCTTCCAATTTCTTTCGGCAAATTTCCAACCAGTTAGATAAGTTAGGGACCCTACTTTGCAGTAGACACATAGTTCCCGACTTAAATGCAGTGCTTGGTAGATGCTGGATCCCTTCTCTCAAGCCCCGACCACTACCACGTATCATCAGCAAGAATAATAAATTGGAAATCCTGCTACCGATTTAATTGTTATCCAGTATTGGCATCAAATACCCTTTGTCACAGTACTTTGTCTACTTAATATTTGACAATGGCATTTTTATGTGACAAAAGACAATATTCCGTCAATCCTTCAAAAACGGAGTCTAAACATTACTTTTCTAGATCATTGACAAAAAATCCAAATTTGATGAACAAAAGTGCTTTAATTTTAATAAAAGACTTACCAACTGTTCTCCATTTGTCTGTTTTTAATTGGGAGGAGGTGCTATCTAAAAGTCCACTAGTGCCGGGCGCGGTGGCTCAAGCCTGTAATCCCAGCACTTTGGGAGGCCGAGGCGGGTGGATCACGAGGTCAAGAGATCGAGACCATCCTGGTCAACATGGTGAAACCCCGTCTCTACTAAAAATACAAAAAATTAGCTGGGCGTGGTGGCGCGTGCCTGTAATCCCAGCTACTCAGGAGGCTGAGGCAGGAGAATTGCCTGAACCCAGGAGGCGGAGGTTGCGGTGAGCCGAGATCGCGCCATTGCACTCCGGCCTGGGTAACAAGAGCGAAACTCCGTCTCAAAAAAATAAAAATAAAAAAAAAATAAAAGTCCACTAGTATTTCTAGTTACCACAGTCTAGTTATTCAACAAGGTGAAAGAGAAGTGGCAGCCCTAGTGAGATTCAGTCTTAAGGGACCCTGAGAATGTCTGTATAAATAAAGATAGATGACCCTGGTGCCAATATATAAAGTATTATCTACTAAAGTTGTGAAAAAGAGATTAAACTAGAAATTATTGGATTTTTGAGAAAGAGATATAACACCTTTTACTGTATAATCATATATGTGAAAGGGGGCTAAGTGAATTTCTAGCATAATAAATTCTGAGACAGCTGTTTCTCTTCCCATGCATGAGAATAAATCACATTACACAAGGGTGGAAGATGAGAAGGAATTATCTGATAAGTGGTACTAATCTGTACTTCCTTAGTTTGAAGACCTTTCCTTCACAAAAATTCAAAAGTTAACATTAGGATAATACAATGCAATGCATTATCTAATCTGAATTATTCTTGTTAGCTGTTTTTAATAGAAAATTAATTAGACTGTTTCACATGACAGCACATTGAATTAAATTTATGGTTTTGACTGAACAACAATATTTTAAACCTGCAAAGCTTTCATAATAAAGACACTCCAATAGAAATCATACACTTGAAAAAGTGACTTGAATATGTGACCAGGAAATTATTTGGTGGTTGTGTTGTGGAAATATCGTAAGTGAAAATCTGAAAGCAAGGGAACTGCCTACTTCATTTGGCTGGAGGGTGAGAATTATTATGGCAATAGTAGTTTGTTTTCATATGTAAATTATTTTTACAAGTATAATTTTACTCCCTAATTTGAGTAATTATGAGAAGTCAGTTTAATCAGTGCACACCAGTTTTGAAAATTAAAATTTCAGAATTTATTTAAAAATGTAATTTGTTACTTTTTAAAAAGTAGATGCTGTCTACTAAGATCTGACTATCTGTCAATCTAAAAATTAACAGCTGAAACCAAATACCGAAATGAGTTTTGAGAGATACAGTTTAAATTCTCAATTTATTACTCACTCGCTAGAGAATTTTTATAAAGTCTTTATAATTTTATTTAAATATCTAAATACAAGTGTTTACTTAACAAGTGGCAAATGGACTAATATTTCCAAATCAAATATTTCACTTATGTAAACATCCATGTTGCTAAAGGCTATTAATAACACTAGACAGTACTGGCCAAATAGGGCAATCATATTTTTAATTTTGTTCATTTTTGTGTTTCAAAGACTAATTTTGCATTTTAGTAGCCCTTCAATGTACTAACAGTTCATAACAAAAATAATAAATAATTATTTAGATAGAGAAGCATGAAACACAAACCAACATAAAGTTGCTTATTAGAA